ACTGTTACTTTTCAAGCCAGTTCATCAACTACTATCTACAGCGTAGATAACTATCACTATGCCATGTTACAGTTACCATCGACTAGTTCGACTTCTTTTACTTATACTATCTCTTATGTGTGTAAAAATAAAGATGATTGTGTTCGAGATTTAGCACAAAATGCAACAAATGAAATGCTTAAGAAACGATATGATTTTCATGCAATTGTTAATGAACTTACACCATTAGTTTCGAGATCTTCTACTATCATCGAATAATACAGATCTTGTTTGTTTTGATTTAAGTGAAAATGTGCGTCATTGTGCTATAGCTGGTAAGCGTGGATCATGTGTCATATCACATAAATTAATTGAGAAAAGTGACATAACTCGTTCGTGTGAGAATCGAATAGCTGCGAGTGTATCCTATGTAAGTATAATACAAACTAATGATTCTGCTATATTTGATGTTCATTGTGATCGACCTTTCTTTAATGGACATTTAACAATACAAGCTACTAAATATATTATGTCTAAATATAGTATTACTCAAACACCTGATGGAAAACCGATTGATGTTAATTTAAATTACGGATTGAAATTAATAACATCTGTTTTACTCATGATAATAATGATTTTTGTTTTATTTTCAAATCAATATTAAACTCATGCTTTAATTCTGGTTAAATATTTAAGTGACATTGTATAAAGCAAAGTCTGTTGTGACACTCTTGGAAATTTTCCACATGGGCTCTGTCTCAGGTTCATAGGTTTTCATATGTTTCTGTAAAGGATTCACTAGACTTATTTCAGCTAAAGCATACGTTGAAGCTAATATAAAAGCACAATCCCCAAAAGAAAGTTACTGCAAACTATTTCTTTGAAAAGATTCCAGCTATTTCGAAAACATAATCAACCCACATGTCAAAATCATGACGACAAAACTTGGTGTTTTGGGTCAACTCCTCAGTTTTTGTACAATGATTTCGTTTCAAAGTAACACTATTCGATTCAGAATCCAATTCTGCATCCATCCTGAGCAGCTAGAAACTCATCTAAAGTCTAGGAGCAGATGTCAACAAGTATTATGACTCCGATCGATTCAAACACCTAGTGGTTGGGACCAAAGTTCTACTTTTTGTCATATGATCCACTTCGAAAATATTACCATTCGATAGGTAACCGAATTTCGTATTCATTACAACCAATTAAAGAGTCATCACAAGTCCAAGAGTGAATATCAGCAAGAAAAACTCGAATACATTGCTAACTTTCCTGACGTATATAAATCTGTCTATGAAGAGAGAGAATAAAGTATGCTTTCATCCAAAGTTATATCTCTTACATTAGAAATCGTTCCATCTTTATTTATAGTAAATGAATAATTTTAAAATAAAAGATGTCTTGAATCTCTTAATATTTATATTTTTTATATTCTAACAAATTTAGATTTATTTCAAATATGGAAATAATCGATTTAAAACAAGCAGTAGTCCTTATAAATCTTGACTTCGGTTCAGAATTTGTTAGACTTTACGTTAATCAATGGTAACAGCTATTGTTCGTTTCTCAATTAACGCATGCTTGAAATTTTGACTATTTTTTACACTCAAAAATAAGATAAATATCTGCATAAAATTTGACTACATAAGAAAGAGTGCACACTGATAAAAAAAAACATATTGTCAATGGAGCGCATTGGTAACAGAAATCGATGAGGACAAAAACATGGACGGGTTAAATACAATAATAGCCACATTTAATCATTTTCCTTAAACTGCCAATATCATTGAACATTACAATAAAATCTATGCGATTTTATATTATTGTCAGTTACATTAACCATCAAATGAGAGGAAAGACCGCTGACTGACTACACGAGCCTGAATAATATCAAAAATGATCCTATATGGTATCTGCTTTTCTAAACTTAGACTTGCGTAAAGCAAATCATCATGAGTCTCAGTTGTGTTCAGATATCTTGACTTGTCAGAGACGTGAGAAATAATGAATTTGAATTAGCTATTGCCATATAAAGAAAGTATCAGCGGTTAATTACCTTTTCTTTTTTTTGCTTACTTTTTATAGCTCCCGAACGTAGTCGAATTTTTGAAAAACGGATTTCAGATATACATTCTCTAACGAAATGTATCATCTCCATTTTTATTTCATTTTCTCTATTGATTCTGTAACAATTCTCTTCCCGTGAAACCTCTAAGCTTGACTATCGGATGTGGGTATGAATGTAAGTGTGAGTGGGTGTGGGTGTAAGCAGTTGTTTTCTCTTGATCCACATTCACACTCACTGATCAGAAAAAAAAAAAGATTTGTTAAAAATTTGTTTTTTATGAATAACAAATCGTCTTAAAATGCAACAATGAAAATATTCTATTAAAACGAATTCTAGAACTTCCCATATTTCATTCATATGATACACTTTTATTTTTAACCTTTTGTTTCTTTTCTTCATAATTGTTACTCAACTGTTAAAGAAAATAAAAGGAATTTTAAAAAATTTCAAACGCTTTTTGTATATATAGAAAAAAAAGAAAGAAGAAAACAAAAAACACTTGCTAAGAATTTATTTCAACTTTCAATTTTATATTTCTGAAAAAGAACCATTCGTTATCAAAAACAAGACATACTCATTTGATATACAGCGCCCTCATCTTGATACAGAACAATATGTGTATATGGCACCAATCAGTATGAAGCGTATGACTCACTCAATTGAAGAAGTGCCTTGATATGCTCTAAGAATGATATTATTATCGATATAGATTAGTTAATGTACATCAAAGATCTTTTCAAGTTCTTTTATTTGAGCTAAGCTGTAATCCATTGGAATTATAATGTACACTTTATCTGCTAACTAAATTTCATGGATTATTTTTGATGTCAAATAGATTTGATAGTTCGATTTCATTTTCAGATGTTGTTAGAAAAAAATGTGCTTATTTGGTATATTCTGATAATAATCATACTTTATATTCTGCAAGGATTTATTCAAGGTTTTACTACATCGATTCCATTATATCTAGTTTCGTATAAAGCATCATGGAAACAACAAGGTACCTTCAGTTGGGTTTCCTATCCGTTTAGTTTTAAAATCGTTTGGGCACCTATCATCGATTCATTTCAAAGTCGTCGATTTGGACGTTATCAAACATGGTTGGTACCTATACAATTAATTATTGGTATTACTCTGATCATTCTCTCATTCTATTTGGAATATCTCTTGATCAATCTAAGAATTGGCATATTAACAATCACCTTTTTCTTCATGTGTTTTCTCATAGCAAGTCAAGATATCGTTGTTGATGGATGGTCTGTCTCATTGTTCAACAAAGTGAATCCACAATATTCATCAACTTGTCAAACTATTGGAATAATGATTGGACGATTTATTGGTTCGACAATATTAATGACATTTGAATCATCGAATTTTACCAACAAATATATTCGGCAACCTCTCTCTCTACCGCATCGTTCTGATGGATTGTTCTCACTTCAACAATTTATTCGATTTTGGGGTATGATCTTCATTATCGTCAGTATCAGTATGGTAGTCATCTTTTTGTATAAGAAGAAACAATCGAATAAGATAAATAATGTTAATATACAAAAGAGAAGACAAACAAAATTAGATTTGTTTGAAATATATTTGGCCATTTTGAAGTTATTCAAAAAACAATGTATACGTAAATTAACTTTAATATTACTAACCTACAAAGTGGGCTTTGCAGCAACCTACTCGATGACTAATTTGACATTATTGGGGTGAGTCTATCTTTCAGATGATATACTTTGTTCTAATATTCTATGTATATAGATATGGTATAACACGTGACACTCTTGCTCTTATGCATATTCCTTTACTTGTCATACATATTATCTTACCTTTATGTTTGAACGGAACACGATGTCCTCTATTATGGTTCGCTAGAGGATATATTCCACGTTTAATTGGTTCGCTCGTTTTAGCCATTTACATTTTCTTCATGTCACAAATTCTTCACACATCGTATTTCTATCCCGTTCTAATTGTCTTACTTTGTTTGAATGAAGCACTTGTGTATTTAATGACAGTATCATGCATTGGATTTTATGCACGAATCAGTGAACCACGTATCGCTGGAACATACATGACATTATTAGGAACAATATCGAATTTAGGTCACAGTTTATCGTCAACATTGGTACTATATATTGCGAATTGGTTGCCAAAACCATATGCATATTCAATTGAAGTCGGAACTTGTATTCTACTAGGTTTTATATGGATAGGATTGACATGGCGTATCATAAGACGTTTGGATGCATTACCTGTCGAAGAATGGTATTTGGAACCTTCTCTTCTAATGATTAATCATTCAACATCTGAAGAAATATGATAATTCACTCTTTTGTAAATAATAATTTATATGTTAATAAATGTTTGCTTTTGCATTTATAATAATTCTTAACAAGAAGTCTGTTTAGACAAAGAATTAATTATATTGACTCAATTCTCGGCAAAATTGCCTTCATACGAACTTTCTATTTAGTGAGTTTTCGTCTGTAAGATTCAAACAAAAAGATAGGTCAGAAAGATGAATTATATCAAATAAATAAATAAACCGTCGATACCGATGAATAGACCGAGCTTGTAATTAAAGCTGCTCAATCTTTGTCATATGGTATTGAAGTTGAAACAATGCCATAAATATCATTTAAATGTATTTAACTGAATTTATCGATCTTTTTAAGTAAATATTTATTTCTACATATGAATTGATCAATTGCGATCTATATCATTCCATGAAGTTTTCATTATTTATAAATTAAAAATTTAGTCATTCTCTATACACTTTCTAAGTAATTTGATATTTTTTTAAATGCAAGTCTTTCATTCGAAGGGTATTTTGCAGTTCCAATCACAAATGATATCAGCATGAAGTTTTATACCAAATGAAAGCTCTTTGAAAACGCAATTTAATAGTATGAATCGTAATTGATAGAGTGATAATGAGCTAGAGAATTCCCGAAGTTTCCAAAATTTCGAATTTATACTCAACAGTTCATTCTTCAATAAAGTGCCAATTAAATCACTTGATAAAAGTAAACGTGTAAGGCTTTCACTCGAAGCTGAATGTGTACATCAGAGATGTCCATCGCGGCTGAAAATCTGCCGCTGCCGCGCCGCGGCCTTAGAAAAAAAGCTGCCGCACCGCTGCCGCGCCGCGGCGGTTTATAAAAAAATGTTGCCGCGACGCTGCCGCACTGCGATGACTTATAAAAGAAACGCTGCCGCGCCGCTGCCGCGCCGCTGCCGCGATGAATTATAAAATAAACGTGCCGCCACCGCGCCGCTGCCGCGACGATTTTCAAAAAAGTGTTTCTAATTTCACTGCTGTGACTATATTTGACCAGAGATATGGGTACTAGTCCATCAGATTTATTCAATATCAGGGCGTTTCATTTGTAAATCGTGAAATTCCATTAAATTCATACAGTTTTTCAATGTCCTCCAAAAAAATCCTGCCGCTGCCGCGTCGCTGCCGCGATGGTTTTTTAAAAAACCTGCCGCTACCGCGCCGCTGCCGCGATGACTTTTAAAAAAATCTGCCGCTACCGCGCCGCTGCCGCGGTGATTTTTTTTAAAAACCTGCCGCTGCCGCGCCGCGATGGACATCTCTGGTGTACATGAGATAACCTGAGAATCGAATTACAACGACACACATCATTCATTGTAATATGTAATTATTGTACAGAATATGATGTTAGTTATAAAGGTCAATGATGTAAGTGACATTATGTTTCAAAATGAGTTTTTCGAAAACTATACATGACAATAAGAGACACATCACAAAGAATAATCTGCTATTTACTTAAGAGTCAATTACATGATACCCAACAAAATCTCAATAGGATTTGAAACTGTTATTGTTTAAAAAAAAGCATTTCTTCAATTATGATTTATTAGTCGTCTTCAACTAATTTGCTACAAGTTGTTCTAAAAAAAACTAAGAGAGAAACGTCATATGAATAACACTTTGTGCTTCTAAATGTAAATTATTAGATATTGATAAATGCATAAAATTTGTAAGTTTTGATTGAGTTCAAGATAGTATTGATCTTTTATACAAACACTGTGGTAAAACTGTTATTAAGTTCAAACTTATATGCATAACGTCTATTAAGTTTTTAGGATTGTCTTAAGTGAAGTAATATCATATGTAGCTACACTTATTGCAAAAGGGTATGGGTGAATGTGAGTTGGGCTAAGCCTGACATCCACACCCACACCCATACCCACACCCTCTAGAAAATAAATATTAAAAATTGTTGAAATCAACGTCACATTAAGATTCGCCACTTTCATCAGTTTTTTTCGAAAGAATCATTATCACTACTAAATCTTACTATTTATCACAGTACTCTTAGTAATGATAGGCAACATCAGATTCTTCATCCTCTCGATTATTTAAAATAGCTATGATTATCAACTTAAATCTATAGACAATATACATACATGCCTGTTTAAACTATAAATATAGAATAACCCTCCAACTACTTACGCGAAATTCTTTTCTCTTCTAGTCTAGGGTATTATATAAGATGTAACTGATAACATGCAAATGCACATGTATACAGTAAAATAATAAAAAACGTGTTTATTTGATTCTTTCTATTATAACCGAACTACAAATCATTATGAAATTTGAATTATTACCAAATGAAATTTTCATTGAAACCTTTGAATTTTTTCGTATATTTGATATATTTTATTCATTTAATCAGTTAAATGATCATTTTAATAAACTTATTGGGACCATTCCATCACATTTTAATTTTAAGTATATTCAAAAAACAAGATTTGATCGATTTTGTAAATTGTTATTATCAAATCTTGATGTAAAAAATCAAGTTTATTCATTAGTATTATCAAATAAAGATACACCTGGTCAAATCAAAACATTTTTATCATTATTTTCATTGAATGAGTTTATTCATCTTGATTCATTAACACTAATTCAAATTGAAGAAAATATTTTACAAAAATTAAAATCAACATTACCTTTAATACCACAATTACATTCTTTTCATTTACTTGATTCCAATGATATTCATCTAACTCATCCATTAATATCTAATTTACAAATACTATCAATTCCAACATTATCATCAATTAATAACCTTTCATAAATTACAAATCTTACAATTTCTGATTGTTCACTCGACTAATTATTTTATCATTTATTCAAATATGCACCAATGTTAACCTATCTCAATATTCAATACCTTTCCTCATATTATTCTCACACAACAAATTATTCAAATGTTAATTTCATCAAAGCTGTTCATTTAAAAGAATTGTTTATATCTAATTTTGAATATAAATTCAAAGATTTTAAATTATTATCAAAATATATACCAAAATTAACAAGTTTAAAATTCTATGGAACTTATGGTTTAGATATGATTGATGCTAATCAATGGGAATATTTAATTATATATATAAGCCTAACGATAATCATATTGAAGATAAATTCATTCAATTTCAAACTGATTTTTGGATAAAACAACATCAATGGTATACTGAATGTTCATTATCAAATCATTCGGCATTGATTTATACAGTACCTCATATGTTAAATTTTTATACATTAGAGTTAGATTCTAATAGATATTGGAATCAGTTAATTAATACATTTAATAATATGAAAAATTTAACATTATATCATACAACAATAAGAGAATCATGTGGACATTATTTTTCAAATGTATGCTATACCAAATTAAAGTGCGTGAAAAACTGGATTTATTGGTACTAAATGGCAAAGGTTATCAAGACCTTTTAATGTCGAATTGAAGAGATTTTCAGAAATTTGATACTTTTTTTCGTATAGAAAAGTAAGATGTCAGTAATTGAAAAATGGAATAAAACATTTTTCTTGAATATTTTTACATGGTTCGATAGAGCTAGTCGAGCTCTACAAAACTGCATATTTCAAAAGTATTTTGAGCCATCTTTTTCAGATAAAAAATTCAAAAAACTACTTGGAAAATCTGAAAAAATGTCGAAAAACTTTACTTTTTTCAAATGACAGAAAAACACTTGATTTTTCAATAAAATTAGCCTTTGTTCATTATTGTTGCTGTCCCATACGTTTCGAAATGTCTTCATTGGATTCAGTTTTTCACGCGGTATCGAATGAACACGTTTCGAAACGTGTGAGGCAGCAAAAGTAATGAACAAAAGCTAATTTTATTGAAAAATTGAGTGTTTCTCTGTCATATGAAAAAGTGAAGTTTTTGAACATTTTTTGGGATTTTTCAAGTAGTTTTTTTGAATTTCTTATCTGACAAAGATGGCTCAAAATATTTTTGAAATATGCAGTTTTGTAGAGCTCGACGAGCTCTATCGAACCGTGTAAAAATATTCAAGAAAAATGTTTTATTCCATTTGTCAATTACTGCCACCTTACTTTTCTACACCAAAAAAATGCAAAATTTCTAAAAATCTCTTCAATTCAACATTAAAAGGTCTTCATAACCTTTATCATTTAGTAACAATAAATCCAGTTTTTGACGCGCTTTAATTCGGTATAAAATACATTTATAATATCATTGATCCTTTAAGTTGTAGAGGGAAGGCAAAGGTTATGTGCCACCCTGTATAAGTCCACTCAGTTTCTAATGCTTATACCAAATATGTTATTATTTTTGATCAAAAAACGTACTCTTTCTAACAGAACTCTGTGAAATATTAGTCAAATATTGATAATTATCTATACTTTCATGACTTTCACGTGAACATAAGCGCCTCCGAACGAAAGCGTTTCGTCTTTATTGTACAGATATAATCATATTACTAATAGTCACTGATTGTCAAAAGTCAAAACTTTATGAAAGTTTTCAATTGTATCATATCTCTAAAGTATTTCAATCAGGATCAGAAAATACTCGAACAAAGATGAAGATATAGAGCATTTGACACTCCATCGAACTGCATGTGATAGAATTTGCTCATACAATGAAATCTAGAAAAACACGAGAATCATAGTAAACAAAATGTTCCTATTTTTTCATTAATTTAATACAAACATTTTTTCACCATAACTCCTCTCCAATAAGACATATTTGGTCGAAAATTTTAGGTTGAGTGTATCTCATTTACTTCTACTAATTTGCCCAAGTTTTGTTGAATTTGAACAACTTGTTGAAAAACGACAGTGTTCTTTCGAGAGTAATGAATATCAATCGTTCTGGATTTATTGAGATAGACAAAAGCGTGTTGAGACCAGCTGTAGATGTAAAATGTGTGTATAATAGATTTATTTATCAGTCAGACTAGCAGCTAGAATAATAATAATAATATTATTAATAATAGCAAATTAGGAAAAATGATGAAACAAAATAAGAAAAGATAAATAAGATATAGAGTGCCAGCAAAAAAATTAAAAGAAAAAAAATCCTCTGTTTGAAATGTAGAAATAATAAGATAGATCGTTTCTCTACGATCGATCATCTTGAGAAAGTAACTCTTATCTGTGAGAGATATTGTACTGTACATATCTTGTGTTAGTAGAATGAAGTTGAAGAAGAAATGTGAGTTTCACTTTTTAGCTCCAAAGGGACCACGCTGATAAGCTCTTTTTTATAATTAAGGTTTTCGAGCAAGAACAAAGAATAGAGATGTAAATATATCAAGTTTACGAGCACGTAAGAAACTTGTAACTGATTTTTGCCATATATTGCTCATTGCTGTACTGCCTTTGGGAGCTATTCGAATTTTCTCTGTAAGCCAAATCATACAATGTGCTAATCGTCGAGCAAGAGGACCTGTACGATGATGATTGAATGAGAAAAACGAATCACCACCATCTAGTGGTTGATAACTAGGAATATCAGCTTCAGGTATTATTCGATTTTCTTCAACATTAAAACCAACTGATTCAAGATCCGCAACAAATTCACGGGTTAATTTTAGTTGAGGTAAGGCAAGACTTGCTTCCATCGTGCGTATTGTTTCAACATGTTCAGGATTTTGATTATCATATTTATCAGTTAAACAGGCATCATAACCAACAAATGAACCACCTGGTTTAAGTACACGAAAAACTTCAGCAAAACATTTGGACTAAATCATTGTAGAAAAAAGCATTTTTTTTTAAAAAAAAAATATAATAATATACTTTTTCTGGTGCATGACATACAGATTCTATAGCATAAACATGATCAAAACTATTATCTTCAAATGGTAATTTCATGAAATCACCTTGAATAAATTCACAATTGGTCGGTACACCTGAAATGAGGTTTCAATTCATATTCGAAATTTGTTTCAAAAAATAAATACAATGAATTCTTACCGATTTCTCTAGCTCGTTGAACTTGATATGGACTAATTGTTATACCGGTGATATGTGCTCCAGTTAAGTATGCAATACGTCTTAAGGGTCCTCCAACTCCACAGCCGATATCAAGTACTTTATCTCCTGGTTTAAGTTGCATTCTTAATGCTAAATAAGATTCATGTCGTTGAATTGATTCTGCGAATGTTTCACCATGAAATCGATTAGCACAATGAAAACTTCTACCCCAACCTGATTCATAAATATCTGTTGTTAAACTATAATAATTCGTTACTAGCGTCGAATATTGAGCTTTTCGTGTATCAATATCTTGGTGTACTTCATTATATGATGAAATATCTCTTTGAATAGCATTCCTTGGACGTCGTATAAGTTTTTTTTCTGTCATTATTTTTCTTCTATAATGCGAATAAACGATTGCCTTTGAATTAATTATATACGTATATATCTAACCTTGAGGCACTACAGTGAAGTAAAAAAAAATACAGCAAGATGAAAATATTAATCGATATGCTTCGATAAATTTTCTCTACATTTTTTTTTTACCTTTCTCGTTCCTCTTCGTTCTATTTGATTTTTTCCTATACGAGATATATGGCGAATATTTACGCAAAGAGGATTCGACGCATTGTCGTTTTATTATTTTCAATTTCTCTCATGCTCTCTTCTTCTCTTCCTCTTGTTTTGGTTCGTTTTCTTCTTGTATTTTTCTGTATTAGTAATAACATCATTATCGTATAATATATCTCCTTTATTCACTTAGTTCTTTAGAATAACGAAAGAGCACAAAGAAGAAAAAAATCAAGAAAAAAAGAATAATATCTGTTATGGGCATGTCTTTTGTCTTTGAAAACAAATAGAGAACAGAACAAATTCGTTTCTATATATAAATTTATGTATTTTTTTTTCACTCGAACAACACTAAGTACATTTTGTAGTATGCAATGATGGTAAACGAATAATGGAATGTTAAAAAGAACAACAGATAAAATTTCTTCGTCAAACGAATGAATCATTGAAAACATGTGACTGATGTAAATTTTATCATGGTTGAATATTTCAACCTATTTATTCGGTCATCTTTAGCAAAACATTAACTACTGTTAGAGAGCACTCTAATAACATTCATCATTATTTATTGTATTTTATTCTTCTTCATTTGTTACGTGTATGTGTATTCATTTTACTATATGTTATCCACTCTCATACAAATAAGTTAATCTTTTTTTTCTTCTCTTCTTTCCTTCATTCTTGAGAATTCAATAAACTTTCAACCTTTTCTTTTATTCTAACTTTAAGTGCATTGAAGATGCCGAACATTATCTTCATTATTACGTAGTCTAATCCAACGTGGACAAGAATATTTATTATCCCCCCTATCCGTCTGTATCTTTTGCCTATGTATTTTATCTATCCTTGTATTTTTTTTTTGTCTGTTCTTTTTTTTTTCTCTGGTGTGTGTTGGTGATGTATAAATAGTGAAGAATAAAGAAAAGAATAAAAAGTTCAGGAGAAAAGGAGGTAAAAGAAAGTTGAAGTTGTTAAAAGTTGATCAACAAGAAAATCTGATTATATTCTATTGATCAAGTTACAGTCGAGAGCATCTGTAACATCTACATATACTTTTTATTTTAGATATGAAAATATACTCAATGCCTTCAAAGAAGGAAAAATCGAAGATGCAAGAACATAATTCATCCCATTTTCGTACGTTCGATTTTTCGTTCTTTGAAGACACTACGTATACTTCCATATCTAAAAATAAATGGTATGTATAGATAATATTTTCCTAGAGATGACTGAATAAACAAGTAGAAATATTCAACT